CACAGTACATTATGTGATAACACAGTACATTATGTGATAACACAGTACATTATGTGATAAATAGAAACTGAAATACTTGACTAAAGAAAGTTCCAACTAAACTAAGGATCAATGTTCTACATGGCAAACTTATTATTTTTAATTGTAGAAGTTTGTAGTTAAATGTTAAGACATTAATTTAGGACAGTTAGTGTAAAAAGTCGCACATGAACTGTTATTTCACAACAAGTAATTAGCCCATTTTTGGAGTGCCGTTGTTTTTGTTTCAGACGTGTGAGCAGTGTAAGAAGAGGAAGGCCTGTACGAAGAGCTTCAGTATACAGAGGTTCCCTCAGATCCTCGTGTTACGTATCCTTGGTTACATGTGAATTGGTTTGTTTGGTTTGTTTGTGTTTTACGTCCCATTAACAGCTATGGTCATTTAAGGACGTGCCAGGTTTGTTTGTGTTTTACGTCCCATTTACAGCTATGTTCATTTAAGGACGGGCCAGGTTTTGGTGGCGAAGGAAAGCCGGAGTTCTCGGAGAAAAACCAATGACCTACAGCCAGTACCTTTGCAACTGCCCCACGTAGGTCTCAAACCCACGACCCAGAGGTGGAGGGCTAGTGGTATTAGAATGTCAGACACCTTGACCACTTGGCCACCACGGCCCAGAGGTGGAGGGCTTGTGGTAGCAGAATGTCAGACACCTTGACCACTTGGCCACCACGACCCAGTGGGGAAGGGCTAGTGGTAGCAGAATGTCAGGCACCTTAACCACTTGGCCCCCACACCCCAGAGGTGGAGGGCTACTGGTAGCAGAATGTCAGACCCCTTAACCACTTGGCCCCCACACCCCAGAGGTGGAGGGCTAGTGGTAGCAGAATGTCAGACACCTTAACCACTTGGCCACCACAACCCAGAGGTGGAGGGCTAGTAGTAGTAGAATGTCAGACACCTTAACCACTTGGCCACCACGACCCAGAGGAGGAGGGCTAGTGGTAGTAGAATGTCAGACCCCTTAACCACTTGGCCCCCACGACCCAGTGGTGAAGGGCTAGTGGTAGCAGAATGTCAGACACCTTAACCACTTGGCCACCGCAGCCCCCAGAATACATGTGATACATTTTAGACTCATTAGTGAATTTCATATGAGATGGAAACCTTTTTAAATCCTTTGTGTGATTTGATCTGCATCTTTACTACTCAAACATATTTTATTAAAGCCTGTCATTTAGTATCAATATGGTCAAATTATATGAATTTAGCATGTTTTTTTGGGTTGTTTTAAATGTGCAGAGAAGATTTCACGATGTTATGTAATTGTATTTCTTTTGGAAAAATATGAAATTGAGAAAAAGTATGTTAAATTTGACTATCAGATTGTAATTTGGATCAGTAGAAATAAAATGGAAAACACGGTAATCTTATTATGTACTCATTTTAAACGTGATTTTGCAAGGCTGTCTTGAAAAGTCATAGGGAATAGAATAGTCTTTAAAAGTACAGTGGAACCCGCTTATTATGATATCCTATACTAGAATTCTGATATAAAGCAGAACACAGAACCCTATTTACATTCAGGTAGTACATTTTTAGCTCACCTGGTCCGAACGACCAAGGTGAGCTTATGCCATACCGTGGCATCCGTCGTCCGTCTGTCCGTACGTCAACAGTTTCTTTAAACGACTTCTTCTTCTTAACCACTGGTTGGAATTAAACTAAATTTGACTGGAAGCATCCCTAGGTAGTGGGGATTCAAAATTGTACAAATGGTGGGGCTGACCCCCCAGGGGGCTGAGGGGCAGGGCCAAACATGGTATTTGGCTATACTGCTTTAAGCAACTTCTTCTCTGGAACTAAGAAGTGGATATCAACCATATTTGACTGGAAGCATCCCTAGGTGGTGG